TGAGTGTGGGTATCATTCTTTTCCTCACACCCACACCCACACCTACATCCACACTCACACCCACACCTACATCCACACTCACACCCACACCTACACCCACACTCACACCCACACCTACATCCACACTCACACCCACACCTACATCCACACTCACACCCACATCCACCCATATCCACCCACATCCACCCACACACCCACACCCTAAAACTAGGATGTGGGTATCATTCTTTTCCTCACACCCAAACCCATACCCACACCCACACCCACACTCACACCCAACCCATACCCACCTACACCCACACCCTAAAACTAAGGTGTGGGTATCATTCCTTTCCTCACACCCACATCCGCGCACCCACACCTACACCCACACTCACACCCACGCCCATCCACACACCCATACTCACATCCATCCATACACTCACACTCCACACCCATCCACACCACACACCTACCCCCACCCGCACCCACACCCACGCCCATCCACACATCCACACCCACATCCATCCATACACTCACACTCCATTCCACACACCTACCTCCACCCACGCCCATCCACACACCCCACACCCATCCACACACCCCATACCCACACCACACACCTACACCCATCGAATAAAATTATTAAATAATTTTGGTACAGGAGGTGAGTGTAGGTGTGTTTGACTGCAAGTTAAGAGATGACGAATACTCATACTTACAATCACAAAGAATTTTCGCATAATAATCCATATCTACGAGAAAAAGGAAATTTATTTTAGTTCGTTTGAAATTTCATTTTTTAGTGGATTTTTTCTTTTTTTTTATAGCTTTGTTTTGATGGAATATTCTTATATTTCCTTTTCACGTCCTTTGTGTCGTTGTTCTCTGGCTTCCGAAGTCATAAGTGTTTATTGAATGACTCGAAGGTGTTTTTTCTTCCTTTATCGGTTTTTTCTAAAGATAAAAATATGTCAATACTCTCAGCTTACACGATGACCAATCTGGAATAGGGGCGTAGAGAACATTGGGCATAATTCCACTTTGGATGCTGGCATATATATATATACGTATATTCACAACTCATGATTTGTTTTGTAAAAAGTATTATAACATTCATATTTGGTCTTTAATCAGCTATCCAGACATTGCAATAGCTTCGTGTGGGGTAATGTACAATGTATTGAGTTTCTGTGCACTTAGTTTCTTATTTCCGATAGCATTCTCTATAAGTGAGACAATTTATCGAATTACTATTTTCAAAGTTCAAGTATTTTTCAAAATGATTATATAAGGTCTAGTTATTATTTGAAGGCTAGAATTATTGTATTTTGGTTCGAATCTTGTTATTGAATGTTAGACATGTATCGAGTGATAATTATTGAATCTAATCGGTTTCATACAGGCTTATTGATCTGATAGCATCAGAATTAGTTAATACGAATACGTTTTCTTAAAAATAATCTATGATAGCTAAAGAAGAACGGATCCGTTTGAGGAGTCTCCATGAATTTAATTTTTCTTTTCTCAGACTGTAATCCTATAAAATTCATATAGTTACTATTAATGTTTGAAAAAAATAAATGAAAAGACTTCCTATTCTACTTCTTGAAAATTTTCAATAAAGAGTCAATAACTACAATTTGTATGTAATTTGAATTTCATGGTGACTTACTTACATCATGGCAGCAAATTATTAAGCTTGAGCAGTATTCTTTCAGGTAAATATTATTTGTGTTTCATCTATTTGTTTTTTTTTTGAGTCATAAAATGTTATTTTTCCTATAAGAAACGAAAAATGCAGTCATTACCCTTGCCTCTCTTTGATTGCCTTATTAACAATAGGCAATTTAACAGCATAGCAATGTTAAGTACGACTGTCTAATGTTCAACAATTATCTTTGAATATTACTTATTCGTTGTTGTGATCTGTCAGTCGTATTCAGGTGGAAAATTCACGGATATTCACAAGTGTTGGAAATATTCACATCTTGTATCTAGGATTTTTCTTAGATCACGTATTGAAAATTTTCCAACTGTGCTATTTTAGATCATATAGGGAATTTTCTCCACATGCTCTTATATATATATTCGTGTTCATTCTATTTGTCATCATAACCAAGATATTACTAGTAAATTGAACTCACATTCGCCAAAAACTTACAAGTAGAATATTTAATACATGCAGAAATTTTAAAATTAATTTTATTTTCAAAGTTTTCCTACCATTGAAATAATTCGTAATTGATATGAAGTATTTTTCTCATTTCTCAATTCATCTACGATTTTATTCTATTCATGTGACTCGTATGTATCTTTTTGTTTACAATATAAAATCAAGATTTATTTCCCCATGATCATATTGATCGATGAACCACTTTTCATTTGTATTGACTTATGATATTAGTAATCAACATTAAGGTAGTAAATGAAGTGTGAAGCCTATGTTGTCCGACTTAAATAGATGACTACT